CCAAGTCGAAGACCCGAAAGACTTTCCCCGACTTGGACCATCGGTCGGACTTTGGGAGGACGGGCATTGACATTTTTCGGTCGATTTGGCCGCGCCGGTTCCGGCCCGGCGAGTTTTTGCGAATCGGTGGACGCGCCCAACGAGGACGGTCGACCGGACCCGACGAAGGAGCCTCGGCCCCTTTCCTCGGAGATGGCGCTCGTCGCGTTCCGTTGGGGAAGGAAGCGCGCCGGCGTTGGGCAGGGTCAGGGTCCGCCGCCGTCGGTTTCGGCGCGTTGCGTAACTTAGGTCATAGTTTCGCGAGGCGAAGTTCCCGGAGGCGGCCTTGCCGGAATTCCGGGGTCCCGGGACGCGTCGGTGACGCGAACGGTCAGGGCCGGCGAGTGGGTCTCGCGGTTACGCAAGAGGCGCCTCGAGGACAGGCAAGCTGCCAACCGGAAGTCCCCTTCCTCCGGGATCGCGGCGATCCCGGCGCCCCGAGGACGAGGCTACTCCGGATGCCCGGGACGCGGAAACGAGCGGAACGTGCTCCATCGGGTCGCGCGCGGATTCCGCGGCCTTCCTCCTCGACGCGCGTACGTGCGAAGCGGTCGCTATCGCCGTATCGGGGAAACCGACGCGGCGGCCCGACGGAGGACCGGGATCGACCGGGATCGCGACTAGAGAGGTAGGCGCGCGGGAGCGCGCCGAGCGCCGAGCGCGAGCAATTCACCTCGCGTGGCCTAAATAAACAACCGAGAATACATCGACCCGTAAGCTAGCTGGCTCTCGGAACTTGCGCGCAACTTTGAACCGCTTACGGGGAAGTCGGAGCGGCGGCCGACCTCGGGCCGGACCCGCGCGTCGTCCGCCTCCGCTCTCGGATTTCCCGTCGACGCGGCGCGTCTCTCTTCCGCGGCAAACGAGTCGGGGAGGATCCACTTACGCCGGAATAAAGCGCGTCGACCTCGGCCCGGCCTCCCCGCGATCAATCGTTCGTTTCATTTGGATCGCGTCGGGGAACGGTCCTCGGATATCTTGGCGATCGATTAACGGAGAACTTCGGTCCATCGGCGCTCTTCCTTTTCGAGTCCGCCGAGCCGGTCCGCTTCTCGGTTGCGTTTCGGAAACGAGCGCACCTACGCAACAGGTGCGATCCGCCTTCCTCCGCAGGACCATCCCCTTTGGTAGAAACGCCGGAGCGCGGCCGGTCGATATTTCTGGATCTCCCTGTCCACCGTCCGAGATGTTCCGTTTAGAGGGAAAAACCGCTTACCCGTCAAACGCGAGCATCCGTGGGTTAAGGGGACTCGCATCCTGGACGGGTGACCCAGTAACGCGTCGACGGTAGTCGTACCCACTGAGCCACGACGTCCCTTGACCGATCGTCGATCGCGTGACGAGTCGAGGGACGATCCCGGAGATTCACCTTCACCCGACTCGGCGGCGACGGCGCGACTCGCCACGGGCGTTCCTTTACGGGTCGGTTCGGTCTTCCTTTGTTCCGGATCCTAACGTCGCTGATCTCCGATATCGGACGATTCCATCCCTGGATACGATTCTGTCGGTCGAGTCGCGTCGTTTCCTCGCACGTAGAGGCAAGTCAGGCTTCTTTCTCCCAAGATCGTGTCGAGCACTTGGTCGCGTCCGATTGCGTAACCGCGCGGTTCGCCGAGAAGCTCGCAGAAGAAGTTCGCAGCCAGCCAGAGCTTCGCTATCGCGAGATTTTTCAGCCTAGTTGGAGGTATCGATGCCTTTTTGCTGGCCTACTTTGATATCGCGGCTTTCGCGACTGCACTCGTAGGAGGCGGAGACCGATAGGTCTCCGTCGTAAACGAGTTGCCAAGTGTTCTCGTAAATGAATATATCGGCCCCGTCGGTGTCATTGAAAACCGTTCAAGATCTAGTACAGAAGCCGCGAGCCGTCCGCGTTCGGTCGGCGGTCCTCCGATCGAAGCGCCTTCCGCATTTTGGACCGTCGGCACCCTGGGACGGGTTCCCCGTTACGAGATCGGCCCGAGCCGAGACCGAGGACCGAAGGAGGTAAGGAGAGTCCTTTCGGAGCGCGAAAGAAAAACGCGACGCTCGTTCGAAGAAGGTGGCTCCCCCTTGACGCGGGGGCGGAGGTCGACGACGCCTCCTGGAAGGCGGACCCACTTACCGCCGAGCGTTTTTCTTTCCGCGGGGCCCCGCCGATTCAAGGATTCCGAACTCCTCTTGACCCAGATCCGGGACGCGAACGCGCCGATAGCGGCTGTTCGTAATTAAAAGGAGGCTCGCCGTTCCTCCGAATCGCCGTCGAAGTCGGTCCCGGTCGCCCGGGAGCTCGCGGAACGGTTCGCCGAGTTTCACGGATTTTGGACGGCCCTCTGGTACTTTCGGAAAATTCCTTCCCGGTTTTCGTACTTTTACTCCCTACGTTGGGTACGGCGTGGCGGCGTCGCTGGGGTCGGCGCGAGAGAGACGGGTCGATCCTTGGCATCGGGCCCGGAGTGAATCGGCGAGCGATCGAGAGGGAGGGAGGGGCTCGAGCGGTGGGAGGAGCGGAGCGGCATCGCGGAGGGAAGGAGAGGGAGAGGGTCACGAGAGGGGAGGGCCTAGGAGGGTTAGGTGTAGTATCGGTCATTACCTCCGGCGAGTAACTGGGTCAGTCGTCATAGCGCCTCGGTTCGCGCTAACTCGACTCCCCGCGAACCTTCCGCGCGACTCTCGCGCGGCCGGGAGGTCGAGAGGTTGGCCGCCGGTGGCGGCGCTGCCGTCGCGCGATCGCCCCTCCGGGAGTACTCCTATTGTCTTTTAATCGAACCGGTGTATATTTAATCCGTTCCTTTTCTTTCAGGCTAAGTGGCCGGTGACAACGAGTTCGGCGAAACCGGGGGGGAAGGAATCTCCGCCGAACGCGTTACGACTCCGAGGCACCGCGTCGGCGGCGGAACTTTGTTTTAATCGTACCCTTAAAGAGGAGGTTAACTCGTCGTTAATTTGCTTTTAAGGTCGTCGATGACACGACGTCGGACGACCGTCCAGTCTTGGCCGAGCGACCCGCGAGGTCTTGGTTCCATACGGGAACGCCGCGAACGTTTGCGGACGAAATTTCGGCATTCCAGTAATTTAAATGCCTCGAGCACTGCCCGCGACGGGGCATCTGATTCCGCGGGGTCGGAGGAGACGAGGTCGAAGACACGAGCGAAGCCCACCGGTAAGCTGCCGATTCCAGACGAGGTATTCGCGCGGACGGGTCGTCGACGAGGAGACGAGAGAACGACGAAAGGCGCGGCTCGAAACGTTTATGGGCGCGGGGATATAAAAATCCTTTTCAAGGTCATCGATTCGTGGCGAGCATCGGGGTCAACCCGAGAGGCCTGGTCGAAGCATCCCTTTTGGCTGGATCGAAGTCGATCGGTTTCTCCGTCACTGCGACGCAACCGTCGTCGTTTCCCCTCGCCACAGGAGGTTGCACCGTCGTTGCCGCTATCGAGTTCGACTCGATCGCGTCCCTCCGTATCCCGTTCGTCCCCGACGGCCCCGAAAGAAATCGAAAGCGAGTCGTAAGGAACGGAGGGATCGGGAATTCGTCCGGCGTCTCCGGACGGTCTCGAGCCGCTCCTTTCCCGTCCGGCGCGCGGTCGGTGCCGGTGCGGCCACGTGGTGACCGAGCGTCGCGGAAGAAGCTTTCTCGGCGCGGGAAAGTTACGCAGCGCGGCCGTGACGGGAGGGGCGGGAATCGGGAAAATCGGCCTCGCGAATTTCCCCGGTCTATTATTAGCCGCGGGTCGACGCCACCTACCCCGATGCCCGGCGTAGAGGTTGCTGGAAACCGTCTCGCCTCCCCTGGGCCGCCCTGAATTCGCGGAGCCCACGGCCGAGCGCCACGCCGCTCGTCGAGATTGCGAGCCGTTCGAAGATTAACGGTCGAGCGTTACATGTCGGTATTACGAGGGGCATTCTGGGCCAAAGGTCGAGGAACGCCGGCCCACGAGTGGCCACCCCCCGTGGCCTCGTTCTCGCTCTTTCTCCCGTCACCCCTGTCGCTCGGCTCCGCTCTTTCCGCGTGCGCGCGCCCGCCCTACCCCAACCGGGTCGCCCTCCCCCTCTCCCCCTCTTCCTCTTTCCTTCCCGTGCCTCCTCCGTCGCCCCCGCCCGTGGGTCCCGCGTTTCGAGTCGACCGAGCCTCCCCTGGCGCCCCTCGGAGGCGCTCGGTCAGGTTGCGTTAAATTCGGTAACCGACGAGGAAAAGCGGCCAGGGCCGAAGCGCTTCTTCCTCTTCCTCTCGGGGCGAAAGCCGACGGACGGCACTTCTCGGGCCGCGAGAAGGACGCGAGGCCCTTCGGCCAAATCGAGACGCCATTTCCGAATTTGGCGAATTTGGCGACTCGGTCTAGAATCGATCTAGAATCGATCTAGAATCGATCGAGGCACGCCGCGACTCTTTGATCGCCATCGCGAAAAATGGGGCCGCTCGCAAAAGCCCGACGATGCGGCCGAGGAGGGTCGCGCGCCGACCCGTGCACCCGATGCACGTTGACCCGTATTCGGGTCGTTGCTATTTCGGATCATCCTTTCCATAGAGGAAGGTCGACGGAGTACGCGTCGAGGCGTTGCGCAACTCGCCTTGTTTTCGCCTCGAAATCGACGCACCGTGCATCGACTTCGGTCTCTTTGTTTCCCTCTCCCGCCGTTGGTGCAGTCGTAACAACGAACGGGACTCGAATAAATGAGATTCAGCCCACGGTGGATGCCGCGCTTTTACCGAAGAGTCGCGTTTCCTCCGGAATGCCCGAACTGGGCTGCCGCTGAAGGAGATCGACCAAAAGAGTCAGAGGTTCCCGAAAGCTCCGATTACCTCCTAGGATGAACGAACGCGTTGGATGTTTTGGTAATGCCCCGGCGTTGCCAGCGGTGAATACTCGGAAGGTGTTCGTCCTTGGCAACCCTGTCGTAAATATTTTCGCGCCCGATCGGCCCCCGTATAAGCGGGACTCGACGCTCGCTCGTCGTAGTTTCCATCCGGTCGTCGGACCTAGATCACGCATCGACGCGGACGCGGAAAAGTGATCGCGGGCACGAACGTATTCCGAGAAGAGAAGATCGCGACGGAACGGCGGAAGACCCGGTAGGCCCCAGGTATTTAATCTTCGCCATTATTCACGGTAAATACCTACTATTAAGTTGCGACGAATCGTTAGATGAGCGGAGACGATTGTACTCGACGTGTCAGGTTCCAAGTGTCATTCCCGTTAGCTTTACCGGTTGACCGTAATGTCGATTTCGATGGACGGATTTACTTCGCGTTGACTTCGAATCGCTGTTTTATATCTCGTAAATCACGGTGACCCTCGCAGATTGCTCTTCTTATGCATCCTCGTCTTGTGCTCGTATCTATCCGATAATGCGGTACGCGCGACGCCGTCATATCGAGGCCATATCGACGCCATATCGACGCCATATCGACGACACTCCGGGACGATAACGATTCGATACGAGTCCAGTACACCGTCTACAGGTCCGTACGTACGTAAACGGAAGATGTGGCACAAAATTTAAATCGTTACCCGGGAGCACGCATTTTCGTCATAGGATGTAGACGATATGGGGCCGATATGCGCGACATAACGATTGCGATCGTTTATCTGCTTGTTACGATAAATCGTAGAGCCAGGATTTGAAAAGAAAAAAGGGGGCCAAGAAATCGTAGCAGTTTCGCCACGTGTTAGCCGCGAGAATACCCTTTAGGCTGCCTCCGACCCTCGACTTTGCCATTGAGCTACTCTTAGTCGTTCGGAACAAACCTCGTTGCGAGGAAATACGTGACTTACGAGGACTCGTACGACACGTTCGCGCTCGCGATTCAGAAATTTCTGCGGCTCCCACTGAAATGCTTCCACGAAATAAAGTTTCGGACCCGATCTCTCGATTTACAAGAATTTCAAGTCATTCGTTTGCAATTCCTGCGTCCCACCGTTTCCCGATTTATCTAGTGAAAATCATGTAAAGGGTCGACTCGCTCCGCCGAGTTTACCGCGAGCCCTCGACGTCGTCTCAACGGAATCCTCCGAGACCCGCGAGACGGCGAGAGGGAAGAAAGGGACGATCGCGATCGCGAAGCCCACTTTCTCCGGCCCGGGCGGCGCTTCGTCCGCTGTGCCGGTCCCAGAGGAAAGTCGCCGCCTCCCACCAGGGCGACGCTCGCGCCCCTCCACGACCTGTCGGGGGCAGTCCCCCCCGGGTCGACCCCACGCGCGAATCGGCGGGTCAAGGGGTGGCTGGCGCACGCGCGCCACTGGTAAACACTCCCCGGCCGTGCGCACTGCGGCCCGTCTTAGGGCAGGTCCGGGACACGAGTATAGGAAGAGATAGCGAGGCCGCAAAGGGGTGGGTAGCTCGATACGGGCTTGGGTTCAATGCACATCGCTGCCCCCACCGCCGCTGCCGCCGCCGCCGCCACCCTCCGGCCACCCTCCGGCCACCCTCCGGCCACCCCCCAACCACCCTCCGACCACCCTCCGACCACCACCGACCGCTCTCCTCCCCCTCGCGGATGCCCTCGCTTTTGCGCAGCCCGACAGACATCGCGAGGGTGGTCGGCGGGCGGGGTATTTTCGCGAGAGAAAGAGTCCGCTTGCGGCTGGTCATGGTTTCGGATTCGTTCTCTCTTCGTCGGCTCCCGGGCCACTTCGATACCTATTCTTGACTTTTGGCTCGAATCAGGGTCGCTTATCGACCGCGTTCACGGACTTTCGATGACGATATCTTGGAGAAGTCGGTCCGTTTGTCCGGTGCTTTTAGCGGAGGGTCGCCGCGACGTGGCCGTAGGGTGCGCGGGGAGGATCCGCTCGCTCCGGGACGTCTCGAGGAGAAGGTTCCTTCCCATTTTCGGGGGAGCGGACTTTCGTCGTTCTGGCGACAGAACGGATTTCCCTTGGAATCCGTCCCTCCCGTCCAAACGGTTTTGTTTAAGAAATATCGCGGTCTGGAGCTGGCTCCTTGGTTTGCCGAGATTAATTGGCCGCCTCGTAATATAGATGTTGGCTCGCAAAGGGAAGGCGACGAACGAAGACGAATCGACGGCCAACGCTCGGGACTTCGACGGGGGCTTGCGAGTCCTTTTTTCGAAACTTCCCAATTCCATTTGACGCACGACGCGTATTTTCTCTCCTCGAGCGCCGCGAGACGACTCGGGACCCTTCGTGTAATGGGGTTACGAGGAGCAGATAAGACAGGGACGGCGCGCGAACGTGCAGGAAATTGGACGCGAGGCCCGACGGCGCCTGGCGTAGCCTCGCACCGACGCCTCGACCCCCGTGGCCGCGATCCTTCCGAATGTCCCCGACGAAACCCCGGGGGTCACCCCGGGGACCGCGATCCCTTTCGATCGTGGGCCCGCGGTCCGTGACCGCCGCGTCGTCGTCGTCGTCGGCGACCGTTGACGATTACTCGAGGTCGGAGCAGGCGGGCGAGGAAGGGATCCGCGATCTCTTTACCGGCTCCGCCGGGACGATCGGTTCGGGGGAACAGGCGTTGTCGCGCTCGGCCGGTAAGTAACCCAACGACTCCGCTTTATATCGGTTGACAAGTCGAGGGTCGGGCGTCTACGTACCGCCACCGACGTTCCCCAGACATCGGGCTTTCGGACCTGGCGGAAGAAGGCGCGAACGCGATCGATCGCTACCTGGACGGGCTGGAAAGATCGGTCGGTGGCAGACATCGATTCAAGGTCACTCCTCGCTCCTCTTGGTCGCATCCGCGCATCGGTCTCCCCTGAGAGGTCCCGTCGCGCCTATCCGACTTCGGGGGATATCGACCTCGGGCAACCCGGGGCAACCCGGGGCGACGCGGTGAACGAACCGAAAAATCCCGACGGGAGGGGGCGGAAAGCCGAGCCGGCGAATTCGCGAGTCGATGCGATTAAAAGTCGAGGCCGATGTAAACAAACTGCTCCGGCAACGGTGGTGCCCCGCCTCGGAGGTCATTGACCGAGGGTGGAGAGGGCCGCGGACCCGGGCGGCGACGGAGGGGAGGGGAGGGGGCGTCGCATGCAGTCGCATCGACCGGCGGCTCAGCTGTGCATCTCGCCCCTCCTGGCCCTCCCTCGGGCGGGAGGCCGCCCCTCGCGGCCCGGACCTCGCTCAACTCTCGGAACCGACGCGTCACAGGGGATGCTGCGCTGTGAACGTGACCCTCAAAACCGGAATGCACGTACACCGCGGCCGCGCTCCTCTCACGCTGCGCTGCACCCGGGGGACGGGGTCTCGGGGGATCCGAACGTGCTCCGACGGCCAAGGCGGGCCCGGGTGACCTCGAGGAGGTTAGGCGAGGTCAGTGGCGCGAGAAAGGATCGGCGGCAGAGGACCGGGGTTCGGTTACCGGTGGGGTGTACTCGGGGGCACCCGGAGCCCCGAAACCTGGAAGCGATCGCGAAATTCCGAACGGGAAGATCCGCGGATTCGTTCCCCCGGGGGGTCGGGTGGAAGGCTCGCTCGCGAATGCTTCGCCTCGAGGAGAGAGAGGGAGGGAGGGAGGGAGGTGGACCTTAGCGATCGCTTCGGTCCTTGGGGACGCAGACTCGCGACGAGGTCCGATTTTCGAGCTCGGACCGAGCGGTCCTCCCGCACTCCGTCGGGGACTCGCCGAGGAGGGAGGTCGGGCGACACGCGACACGAGACGAGTCCCGTGAATCGCCGGAGTCGTTACGCGCCCGATTAACGAACGAACGCCTCCTCTGAGGCCCGGACGGGGGAACGTCGCCCCCGGGGGCATAACGGGATCTCCCGTTGCCGACAATTTCCGTTTAACGATCGCCCCCTCCCTCGTTTGTCGCCGTCCTCTCGACTCGCTTCCTCCACGGACCCGGGGACGTTCGTTCCCGGTTAACGGTCCCTTTCCTCCTTCGTCGCGTACCTTTTCGACCGTGGATCGCTCGCTTCGGACGGTCCCGGGAGGTTGGCTCGCGTCCGAGGTCCGTCCCGCGGCCGGTCGGCGTCCAGGCGGCGTCCGGGCGGCGTCCGGTCAGGGTCCGTCGGTCCACGGTTGCCTGGATATTGCCCGTTCGACGCGCCTCGGCCGTACCTCGCCTCTACCCATCCACTCGGCCACCCACCTCTCGTTGCCCTCGGTTTACGACGCAGACCGGTAGTCTGGTGCATTATACGTTATACGACTCCGGCTATATCTACCAGTCTGGGGTTGTGGACTTTAGGCTAGTTTACCCCGAGGCGAGGGAACGTTCCAGGATAGATTCGCCGGAATTTTCTCCGAACTTCTGGTCACTCGAGGTGTAACGCTGCGCGAAGCGGATAGATGAAGCGTAAGGCCGAAGCGCCGTGAATGGAACGTCCTTTCGAGTCGATGCTTTCGGAATTGCAACGAGTCGTCCTAGGACTCCTTCCGAGGTGTCCTAGGGATTCTGCCGATATCGGCGGGACGGGAACTTCGGCACGCGTTGCATTCGAAATTCCTAGCGACCAGTTCCAACGAATCTCCACCAGAAAGTTTTCGACTCCCCCAGGAGGGGTTCTCATCCCGAGATCGAAGTAAACGCTCGCCGATTACCCGAAGCGATTCCTCCCTTTAACCGGAGCGTCGACTTACTCGAGGGCGCGTCCGCGGGTCTCTCTTCGTTAAGGGGTCTAGCAAGGGACCCGGGGAAATTCACATGGCGCGAAAGAAACGCGCTTTAGAGCTCGTTACCGGATCGCGACTTCGGCGTCGCGGCAGGTATGCCGCAGGGCGGCAGAGCCGCTGCGGCTGCAGCTGCGCCTCATAGAGAACGATTTCCGAGTTTCCCAGGCTGACCGAGGGACACTCCGTAGTCATGACGACCTCGAATACCGACAGCCGCCTTAACCTCCGCGACGTTGGGGCAGGTCAACGTACGGTGGTCGCTTGGCAACCCAACAAACTACCCCGACCGAGGGGGGCGGCCAATCGCTACGAGGAACCGCCGCGTGCTTCTTTTTGTCGGTGCCGCTTGCCGCCGCTCGGATTGTTCGAGGTCTGAAAAACGCGGAAACGGAAGTCGGATGGCGGAGGAAAGCGAGCCCCGTGGAAGGTTCGAAGGCGCACGACTCGCGCGTCGCGAAGCTGCGCCTTTGAAATATCGGAAAATCAATTCCTAGAGAGAACCA